AAAGAATTATGAAAATATTAGACACAGTTTTATAAACATATGTGTATAGTAATTCACACGAATGTAGAGCCACACACACGCATAATTAAAGAAATATATCATGGTATACGTTTAAGGTACAGAAACTGATTATACACTTTAGGAATAGCTGCCCATGATTCAGCACTTAGCTGTATACATGATACATATAACTATAATTATGTAATACAACCTTATACATATACTTATTTGATATTGAGATTTATTTGATTATTTGAGTTGGAAAGATGTGACACAAAATACTAAATAAGCAAAAAAACTACTAGAAAACACATAATGGTAAAATGCAGCAAATAAAAGAGACAGACAGATGGGTTTTTATGTTAAAAGATTGAGGGGATTTGCAAAGCATTATACCGGTCAGCAAAGTCATGGTCAGTTCTCAAAGACAACTACACTTCAAGGAAAATAGTAATTCTCTGAATCTGATTGGGCATTTGATGTGAACACAAGTGATGTGCACACGGATGTTGTAAAAGGTTCCATCTTCTTTAAATTATGATAATGTTAAAATTAAATGTTTAAGAAAACCTAGAGGTGTTCAGGCAATGAGCTTAGCTGCCCTATGTATAAGTAACTTGGTGCTTGTGGATTCCCCTCAGGGCAAACATAAACTGAAAGGGTCAATAAACTGTGTGTCCCCCTCAAAAGAACTAGCACAATAAAAAGCACCCTCTAGGTCACAGGTCACCTCATCACTGATTGAGATATTCTCAACTTTCTTTTATTCTCAGCTAAACGTACCACACACACAAGAAACACCTAAACAACAGCGGACCAGTCTTAGAGCCAGGGCTTACGTGCGGAAGAGTGTGAGAGGAAGCCATGTCAGTTTCAGAGCTGCACCACAAACATCAGCAGTCAGTGCTAAAAACAAGTTTAAAGATCTTATCATATGTTTTTAAATATATTATAAAATGTGTTTGATTATGAGACTGTCACGTGCTAAAAACATAATGATATAGACCTAATATCCTTTGAGACAGGGAGACTGTGTTGTCTGCCAAAAAGACAAAGCACATTAGATGGATTTAAAATGTTTAGCACATCAGTGGAAGCCTTTAATATTCCAGCTAATATTCCAAAGACTGTTTAGTCAGATACTAACTCAGTATCCGTTACCAACACTGCATAGAAAATACTTTGAGAGAGATCAATAATATGAAACACCAAAAAACACCAAACAATGTATTTCAAGGCAATATATTGTATTTATTAGCCAATATGCAATGTCTGTGTACTCTGAATATGGATATAATATTTCAAGATAACTACTTAACATGCACCAGATGTTAGTCATTGAGTGGATGCAAGCCTTTTTGCGTCAATGGATGACAATGCGATTGAAAATTTTACGTAATCCATCAGATTCATTCTGTCCTTCAAGGGAGGCTTCCATACTGTTTAATTACCTATGTATTTTATCACCAAAGCAGAGTTCTTTCTACTTCTTTAGTCTGAACCATAAAATATACTGTAAATCGGGGCAATGTATCAGTTTTGTTTTTAGAAACAATACTAGGTGTTTGATAGATGTGCATTATGGTAGGCCTGAAAGGATGTCCTATTTTTACCTCAACAGTGCTCCAACCACAAAGGACCTAATGATCAGCTATACTAACTGACATATTTATCAGTGTTATTCATTTTACTTAAAAGAAGCTGTGATTTACACGGACATTTCTCAGGCTTTCCTTTTGGAACTCATCTCGTGGTTGACTAATACCTCTCCGCTGCCTCTCTCACTCTTTTTCTATGTCTTGCTTACTCTTTTCCCTTTATAGATTGGCCCATAGACAGTGAGTGAATGTTAAGCATCAAGAGTAAGTGTCTACATTCTGCTAGGAAGTCCTGATTTCTTTGTAAGACAAAGTTTTTTCAACAGTCATTCCTCTCCCTTTCTCTTGTCACCCAAGGCCCTGTTTACTTCAATATGTCCCTTCGAAGTTCAAGTGTACATGTGATTAGACTGAACTGATTGACACTAACAATGAAAATGTCTAATTTGCTCCTAGTTTGGCTTTAATTATTTCGCAATCACAATATGTTTACAGACGAAGAAGTCATATACACATAAGTCACTAGATTAAAAAAGAAATATGAAGTCACTTTTATTGTGAACATATTGGTATAAATAAAGAAAGAGAACAGGATGAG